CACTGGTCCCATCACCTCCTGGCAAACAGAAGGGGAAGATATGGAGGCTGTGACAGATTTTACCTCCATGATCACTGCAGATGGTGACAGCAGCCACAAAATTAAAGGATGCCTACTTCTTGGGAAGAAAGCAATGACAAACCTAGACAGCATCTTAAAAAGCAAGAGACATCACCTTGCCAACAAAAGTCCGAATAATCAAAGCTATGGTTTTTCCTGTCGTGATGTATGGAAGTGAGAGCTGGACCATAAAGAAAGCTGACCACCAAAGAATTGATGCTTTTGAATTGTGGTGCTGGAGGAGACTCTTGAGAGTCCCCTGGACTGCAAGGAGAACAAACCTATCAATTCTAAAGGAAATAATCCTGAGTGCTCACTGGAAGGACAGATGCTGAAGCTGAGTCTCCAATACTTTGGCCTTCTCATGAGAAGACTCCCTGGAAAAGACCTTGATGTTAGGAAAGTGCAACGGCAAGAGGAGAAGGGGACGACAGAGGATGAGATGGCTGGACAGTGTCTGTGAAGCAACCAACATGAAATTGACACAACTGTGGGAGGCAGTGGAAGACAGGAGGGCCTGGTGTGCTGTGGTCCATGGGGTCACAAAGAGTCGCACACGACTAAACAACTAAACAACAACATAAGAAGTTTTTAATTTGCAAATGTTGACTGTTTCTTCTTTCTTAAGTAGACCTAGTGTTTGGGCTAAAATATAAAGGGAAGATCTGTTTTCTGTATCTGAAGCTCTGGTCTACAGTTTTTTAGAAGTCATCTGCTTCAGAGAGAAAATGTGCTGAATTCAAATATGAGAGAACAACTGATTAGCTTCTATTTTGGAGATATTTAAGGTTTTACATTTTACGGCTATGTATATTGTGTAGATAGAATTTTAAGCATAAATTGTAAAGCTAGGTCGTTTCATGTGTTTATGGTTGCTTACATAATATTTCGCCTGTCCTCTTTATGTAATATTTCAAAAATCAGCATAAGACTTATATAAATAACATTTATTAGGAAACAGAATAGTCATTAGACAGTAGTCCTAGTCAGTGTCGACTTGGTGTTCTTGACTTGTCTGTTGCATTCATTAAATGGAGTGTCTCTTGTCCCTGTCCAGCAAGCATTTATGGGCTTTATTCGCCCTGATAGCATTTTTCCATTGTTTCAATGTCTTCGTGAAATCACTCACCATGCTCATTGCTCACTGCTCTACATTTTGGTGGGAAAAATCTAGATGAGGGTGCACAAACATGTCATCTTTAATGATATGTTGCAGCCAAGGCTTTTGTATGTCTTGAAGAGGTTTTCCGCCAACAACTTGTAGTTTTCTGCCTTGTTTCCAAGAAAATTTATTGCCACAAACTGGAAGGCTTTCCTTGCCGTGCAGTGCATGGTCAAATGCATCATCTCAAAGAAGTTCACAAATCTGAGGACCAACAATGACACCTTCCTTTATCTTAGCTTCACTTAACCTTGGAAATGCAGAGGTACTTGAAGGCTGTTTGTGTTTTGTCAGTGGCTTTGACACAGTTCTTCATCAGACCCAGCTTGATGTGTAATTATGGTAACTAAATCTTTCTTGATTGAATAAGTGGTGGATGCTCAACACTTTCCCTCTCAGTCTCCAATGACTGTCAGAGTAGCCAGTCTATCTTGATGTCGTGGGAATCTCCTCCTTGACTTTCCCATTCACAGAGAAAACAGCAGTACTTTGTGTATCCAATCTGAAAACCAAACAGGAGAGCAGCAACCTTCAAATCACCACAAAGCTGCCACAAATGTTGGTCATAGTTTATGCACCTCAGAAGCAATTTCATATTGTCATATGCTTCCTTCATATGGACTTCAATTCCAACTGGAATTGATACCAAAACATTGCCATTATGCAGCAAAACAACTTTAAGACTTTTCTTCGATTAATCAATGAACAGTCTCCACTCATCTGGATCATAAACTATGTTGAGGGCTGCCATCACACCATCAAGATCACCTTCCATGAAGAAGAATGGGGCAAGATCCTTTTGACAGTCATGGAACACGGAAACCCTAACATCACCTTCCACAAGATTCCACTGCTGTAGTCTGGAGGCCAACAGGTCTGCTTTACTCTTGGGTAGTTCCAAATTCCTGATAAGGCCATTCAGTTCACTTTGTGTTATGAGGTGTGGTTCAGAGGAGGAGGATGGGAGGAAATGTGGGTCCTGTGACATTGATGGTTCAGGACCAGGAGTTTCATTCTTTTCCTCTTCCTTGTCTGACTCAAGTGAGAATGATTCTGTCACATCAGTTTTTCTCCATTGCATACTGAGCTTATAACTGATGGAATGTTTGAATAATGCACAGTCCACTTTTTCTTCTTCAACACACCTTTCCCAACTGGAGGCATCATGGAAAAGTAACAAGTATGAGGCATCTCTGCTCACTTGGCTAAATAGAGATGTGTCCTTTTGCAAAATTGAACACTGACAAAACAAGAGAGCACAACACTGTATGATTTCTAGAGCAGTTTGTTCAGCAGAGTGATGTAATGGTTCCATCATTATGATTATAATTGCATCATCCATGACTTCTAGGAATAACATGATGAATTTCATACCATGTATGATGCAATACCAGCTTCGGATTACATCGTTCATTGTTTTGCCTAAAAAGCAAATATTGTGCAAATCCAGTAATTAGTTTTATTCATAGATCCATTCAAAGATGTATTCACTCATTTCTGGTTTAAATTGAGCTCCATTCCTTTTATAACTCAATTATCCTCCACTGTTCCCAAATCAAGGGTTGTATATACTGACCCAATAACATATCTTGAAAGCTAGAGCCAATCAACAATTTTAAGCATCATCTTCATTCTCAGTGACCCAGAATTAGTAAAGTTTGACTATATTTATTTCAGAAGCATTTTGGCTGTGGACCAGTGTTACCTTTATAGCATGTTTATCTGTGACTCAGCTGAGCTTCCTGATAGTACATTTGTCACTGATAGACAATAAAATGTAGTACGTTTATACATAGTGGTTCGTCTTCTAAGTAACTGTGCAAAGTGCTCTTACTATATCTTGTTATTCATTGTTTTATTTTCTTTGTTTTTCTTTGAATAGCTACAAGTGTATTCATCAAAGCCTGGAGGACAACAACAGATGTCCAAAATGTAATTATGTTGTAGATAATATTGATCATCTCTACCCCAACTTTTTAGGTAAGTTGTAGTGTTTGTTGGTAATGGAGCCTTGAAAAATTATATATCAACTAAGTTGCTAGTAAGCAGGTCATCCATTGTCCCAATTTTGCTGCTTTGTTTTGGTAAGTATAATTCTGCTGGCACTACACAACCTTCTTTAGACATTGCATTCTTAAGCTAGGTTGTGGCTGAAGGTGCTTTGTAATTTTACCACTGGTGTAGAACTGTAGCCTTCAGCTTGTATGTACGCTATCTAGACCTATTGTGCTGCTTCCCTTTAACCATAACAGCTATGATTTGTCATTCTTTGTTAGTAATTCTGGGACAGAATCCACTCCAAAGTTCTCAGGAATAGGGGAGGCTACCTGGAGGGTGATACTCGTATAACCTGTCCTTCCATGCTGCTAATAGTAGTATGGAAGCAGCAATCTTGTCAGAATCACAGAGTTGGGGATGAAGGTGAAGCCTCTCCTCCTGCCCCACCCCATCTCCTTCTATGACCGGAAAATCTTAGCTGGGCTGAGAATTTTCTGTGAAGTACTGTGAAAGACTGTATCTTTTCTATGAACTAATACTTAAATTTCTGAAGACAAGATCAGGACCATTTTGCACATGATAGGTGAAGTATAATTTCCATTGTGTACCATGCAGAGCACCAGTGAAGTAGAGTGGAAATTACTTCATGGCAAATTATTAGAAAGTCATTGTTTTATAACATTTATTGGTAACATACCAAGTGATAAATTAAGCAACTGAAATTTATAAAATACTGTTGAAATTTTTTTAAAAAGTTGTCACTTGTTTTTTGCTGGAGTACACATCCATGCAAGCAGTACCCCCATGGCATAAATAGTATGTTAATAGTTCCATGCTTTCTGTATTGCTCCTGTAAAATCTAAATGATGTAGGAAAGGTATATGCTATTTGTCATGTCTTAAAGCATATATTAGTATTAAATGAAATTTGAAGTGCTTGTTTAACTTTATAATCAAAATGAAACTTCAAATTTTCTTTAACTTAATGATCAACCTCCTGTTGTTTATCATAGTATATCACACTAGAGTAGGCCAACTGAATCAATGGGGATTTGTTGAGTCAACTCTTCTGTAAGTTACATTGATTCAAATCAGCCTACTTTAACTGCGACTTACTTTAGTAAGTTTCAGTTAGAATAAGGCCATTTAAATCAATGGAGCATATGGAGCAGCTGACTTACTAAAGCCCCTTTGATTCAATGGATCTATTCTATTCTACCCATGGGACGTAATTTCAGATACATGTATAAAATTGTACATGTCACGTCTGTAGAACATTTTTTTTGTTCAGCTGATGGATATGTGGTAAGTATCATGCATATACAGTAGCTCTTCATGTGTAAAGCTGTTGCAACACCAATTCAAAAGGTTTTCCTTATTCATTTTTGGAGCATAGGATACCTTCTAACTGCAACTAAAGCCAAAGAGTTTTTAAAGACATCTTGACACTTTAAAATGCAATATCTTGCATTTTCAGTAAGGCCTGAATCAAACTATGGTGTGTTTCAGACACTTTGCAGACAAAGTGTTAAAATATATATCTTTATTTCCATTAGTATTATCCGCTAATGAATTCTGCCTGTTCTGATCTGGAGATAGTAAATAATGAAGTCTGAAAGAACTGTTCTTCTTCGTGGCCTCTGTGAATGCACACATATGGGTATTGTCTACACCTGCACTGACTCTCTCGGAAGATTCTAGAGCAGAGGTCCCCAACCTTGGGCCTCCAGATGTTATTGGACTTCAGCTCCCAGAAATCCTGGCCAGCAGAGGTGGTGGTGAAGGCTTCTGGGAGTTGCAGTCCAAGAACATCTGGAGGCCCAAGGTTGGGGACCACTGTTCTAGAGCTAACAATTTTATGGTGTGATCCTCCATGAAGTATATGCTCCTCTTACCCACCATCGTCCCCAGTTCCTTTATTCCGCCGAAGATGCTGTAGAGCGCTTTTCTGTTGCCTTTTGACTGCCTTAGCAGGCTCTTTTAGCTTTTGTTTTTGTTTATTGCCTCTTTAGTGATCCTCCACGTCTTTTGTTTGCCCTTTTGGCACCCCGCTGTTTTATTTCCCTTCCTTTCCTCCCTTCCCCTTTCCCTCTCCCCTTCCCCTCTTATGGCCTCTCCAGCACCTTTTAAACGGTGTACTACTTGTGGGAATAAAATCACACTTTCCAACGGCCACAACCTTTTTGGTTTGGGTGAGGAACATCCAATCCACTCGTGCCCTGCCTGCAAAAATCTAACCAGGCCGGCATTGAAACAGAGATTGCAAAGACTTCAGTCTTACCTTTGGCAAACGGCTATGAATCCTCCTACAACATCTTCGGAGGCGGTACGATCCCCTACTCCCTCCATGGATAGACTCCTGTTTGGCCAAACTGCCTCTGATTCCACCACATCCGTGCTGCCAGCTAAGGACACTGTTGAGAAACCAAAGCCATCTGGTAAGCACAAGTTATCATCCTCTGACAAATCTCAATCGCACAATCCAACCGCAAAGAAAAAATCAAAGCCCGTTTCTAAAAAAACCTAAGAGGGACAAATCTCTACACATCGAGCCACCCCAGCCTTCTCTATCCTCCCCTGTTCTTGAGGAGTCTTCTAGAGAAGCCCATGATTTTGTTTCAGAGGGGGAAGAACCCCGTGAGAACGTGGCCCCTTCTACGATGCCGCTCCAAACCCCAGACATTGGCCTCATCGCGGCTGCGCTGCTGTCCAGCCCGGCCTCGGCCCATTCCAACACTGATTCAGTGTGGGCACCTGAAAGTTCGGCATCTGATCCCGAGATTCCCCCTTCTCCCCCAAGAAAGAGAACGGAGAAAAGAAAGCACCTCTCTCCATCAAGGTCCGTAACATTGCAAGGGGATTACTTCCTGTTCCCGATGATGTCATACCAATGCTTTGATCCCTATATCTGGCAAACTCTTTATGAACTGTACCATGCCAATCAGCCCAAATGACCTCAAATGACACCAGATCTTTCCCAAGTTACTACCACCAAAGATTCACATCGACCGTGTAAGTCCGCTTCTGCCCCCACAGCTTCAACATCATCGAAACTTCCCTCTGCTTCCTCAAAGTCAACTTCACAATCTAAGAAGCAAGACAAGGCTCACAAAGCCCAACCTTCCCAATCCACTCCACCTGAACTGGACTCATTTCCATCTCAGACCCCTTTGTGCTCCTGCCAACTTAACGACATCATGCTCCCTTGACAGAGGCTTTTGGCCAGCCGGACTATCCTTCATCTCCTGGCTCCCCCTCGTCCTCAGAAGCACAGCATTCTGACTCTTCACACGAACCATCACCAGATTTACCTACTCCACCTCCAGATACGAGGGACAACCACCCCTCCTCTCCTTCAGATGATTTCTCCTTTTATTCCCATCTCATCTCCCAGATGGCCCAGGCTCTACAGCTCGACACTGAAGCACTGCCGTTGCCTGATGCTGACCCTGTGTTCGATGATATTAACCAAGAACAGTCCACACCTCTGAGTCTCGCCTTCAACAAGTCTATTCTCAAGCTTATTAAGGACACTTGAGGCAACCCCCCCCACCATGCAGATCTCCCATTGTACCAACGGTCTCTACAGGACCCATGGCATTGACATAGATTTTCTCAACAAGCATCCAATACCTAATTTTATTATTGCTGAGTCCAGTCAGGCTCGAGGATACACCAAATCTAAACCCACCTCTCCTAACAAGGAAGGTAGGAAGATCGATACCCGAGGGATGCAAATCTATTCTTTACAGTCCTTTGTCCTTAGGAATATAAGCAACCAGGTGGTTATGGGCACATATCAACGCTACCTGTGGAATAAAGTGCTCCCTCCTTTAGAAGCAGCCTCAGAATCTATGAAGACTGATCTCATTAATATTCATTTGCAAGTAATCTCTCTTGCTAAATACTAGAGAATTGCTGCCCATCACTTCACTGGAGCAGCTTCCAAAACTCTTGTCACTTCCATATCCATTCGACACCATGCCTGACTTAGGTCCTCCACAATCTCTGATGACACCAAGGCTAGGATCGAGGACCTCCCATTCGATGGTACCAGACTCTTTAATTAAAAGACCAATGATACCATGGAGGACTTCCATAAAAAACACAAGAAAGCGTGGTCATACTCCGCTCAGCCGACTACTGCCTATCAAAAACCACTTTGCCATCAAGGACAGTTTTACCCCAGACAATACCAATTCCAGAGATTTCAACCTTACAAGCAATATCGTCCCCAGCAAACTGATAGGACTCTTCCAACTCCTCAATCTCTGATGTCATCATTTCAACCTCAAAACCAACCTAGACAATGACAACCCTTTCATAACAGACAACGAAAGGGTAAGCAATATTGACAACCATTTCCATATGTTTTCCCTACCATATTTCCTTGCTTACCATACCATACCAGATTGGCCCCATTCTTCCATCTTTGGCAGGCTATCATGTTGGACAAATGGGTTCTGTCTACTGTAGCGTCTGGCTACTTAATAGAATTTTCTGAGTTGCCCCCTCTCGGGCTCATTTGTTCCACCCCTTACTCCTCTACCCTCCAGGATGAGGTCACTAAACTTTTCCAGAAGCGTGTCATTCTCCTGATTCCAGCCTCAGACTGGCCCAACGATTTCTATTCAGAGTACTTTACAGTCCCTAAGAAATATAGAGGACTCCGTCCCATCCTTGATCTGACTCATCTCAATCACTTAATCTGCCCCCGCAAATTCCAGATACTCACACTGGACACTATTGTTCCTTTGCTTTCGCAGGGAGACTGGTTCATCATTATCGATTTACAGGATGCCTATTTCCATATTTCCATCCACCCGGACCATCAAAAATTCCTCAGATTTCACTTCAACGACATCGTTCTCCAATACTGTGCTCTCTCCTTTGGACTCTCCACCGCCCCCAAAACCTTGACCAAATGCATGGCTCCAATTGCCGCCTTCCTTCGTCTCCAGGGAGTAAACATCTACCCCTACATCAATGATTGGCTCATCGTGGTGGCATCGTACCACAATGCCATACAAGCACGGGACACAATACTTTACACTCTCCGAAGTCTCAGTCTCAAGATCAACGTCGAAAAGTCCCATCTAATACCAAGACAAACAGCCAAGTTCATTGGCATAGACATCGACTCACTTTGCGTCAGAGCTTTCTTACACCTAGAACGAATCAGGAAAATACAAAAAGCCATCCATCCGTTCCAGTCTCAACACTCTGTCTCAGCGCACCATGCACAACATCTCCTTGGCCTCATGGCCTCAATGACATCCATGGTCCAACATGCCAGACTCAAGATGAGGTCTTTGCGGTCATGGCTTCTGTCCCTGTTCAATCCAGTAACAGATCCCCCATCATTATCACTAACCGTGACACCGGCACTAGCCACCCAGCTCGTCTGGTGGACTTGTCCACAAAACCTCCTCATCGGCAGATGATGCTCCCCCTTGCGACCAACGATACAGGTCACAACGGGCTGGGGAGCTCACTGCCTTCAACATACTGTCCACGGACTATGGTCAAAACAAGAACTAGCACTTCACATAAACCATCTAGAACTGCTAGCAATCATCAGCCTTCCACACCTTTCTTCCTCTCATCAAGGGGCAGGTGGTGCAGCTGGCAACAGACAACACCACTGCACTTTACTATGTCAACAAGCAGGGTGTCACCCACTCTCCATCTCTCCTCTACCTAGCTGTCGACCTATGGGAATGGTGTTATTCCAACCATATCTTCGCTATTGCTGTCCACATTTCTACTGACGACAACTTCCTAGCCGATGACCTCAGTCGACTGCCAACAAGGACCCACAAGTGGTCCCTGAACAATGCTGTATTCCGGCAGCTATGCCAACGGTGGAGCACGCCTTCTATAGACCTTTTTGCGTCCGCTGCCAACAGCAAATGCAAGCAGTTCTGCTCCCAAGCCGGGATAGACAACACCTCTCTGGGTGATGCATTCATGATCGACTGGTCCTACGACTTCCTTTGCCTGTTCCCTCCTTTACCTCTCATCCAGAGGGTAATTATCTTTTTCCGTCAAGACAGAGCAAATGCAATTCTCATATCTCCATGTTGGCCCCGCCAGCCATGGTTCACTCACCTGGTCTCAATATGTTCCGCCTTTCTCTCCATCCAGATCTCTTCTCGCTTGACCAAGCGCTGATCTATCACCCCGACATCACCTCTCTCGGTCTTGCAGCCTGGAGGATACTCCCGAAGTGATGCAGGTTCTCCTTCAAGCCCATAAGCCTTCCACTACTCTCCTGTATGAGAACAAATGGAAATCATTCTTGAAATAGGCTGCTGACAATAACTTACCTGCTATACCTGTTTCTTTGAAGACCCTGCTTACTTACCTTCTTCATCTCTTCAGTTTCGGTCTCTCCCTTTCCACGTTGAAGGTCTACTTATCCGCCATTGTGGCTCACCAACCAGATGACTCCCCTTCTTCCAAGTTGTTTTCACATCCAACTGTCAAAAAATTCCTTAAAGGACTCAATAACATTAATCCCCCGCAACAACGTATTACTTCCCAATGGTCATTGCAGGTGGTTCTTAACGCCCTGATGCGCCCCCATTTGAACCAATGGCATCTAAAGCCACTCACTCTCAAATCGGTTTTCCTAGTAGCCATTACCTCAGCCAAAAGGGCCAGCAAGCTTGCCGCTCTTCGCACGGATCCTCCCGTTATACAGTTCCACCCCGATAAAGTGACTCTTTGATGTTTCATTTCTACCAAAGGTTGTCTCTGACTTCCACCTGAACCAACCTATCAAATTACCATCTTTCTTTAAATCTCCATCCTCACCACTGGAACATATGCTCCATAATGTGGATGTCAGGCGTGCCTTACCCTTTTATCTAGAGAGGACAAAAGACTTCAGGAAAACCAATAAATTCTTCGTGTGTTTTCATGGCTCGAATAAAGGAGCACCAGCCTCTTCACAGTCCATAGCACGCTGGATAGTGCCAACTATTTCCTTAGCTTACCAGTTGTCTGGGAAATCTCCACCAGAACATTTGACAGCTCACTCAACCAGAGCTCTATCCACCTCCACTGCCTTTCATCGTAGCACAGAGGTTCCTGACATCTGCCATGCTGCTACCTGGTCCACACTGTCCACGTTTGTAAAACACTACTGGCTGGACGTCAGAGCATGCCGCGATGCTGCATTTGGCAGAGGTGTCCTGTCATCCTTCTTACCGTGATGTCCCACCAACCAGTAAGTGCTGTCATGGTCTAGGTTATTAAGGCTAAAATGTGATTTATGAATAGGATTTGTAGTCATGGAATGTTGTAGAAGGAATCCATATTGGTCTGTGTTAGCATGACTGGATGCTTCGAGAAGCTGTTTCTCCTAGAGCTAGCTGGAATTTTCCATGAAGCTGCCTTGGCCAGAGACTATAAGGAGCCAAGACACAACATCAGGATGAGGGACAACAACACCTGCACATCCCGTGGGAAATGGAGGTGGAGTGTGAAGAGACAGCCCTTTGCGGGGATTGGTTAACATCACAGAAGAGTGGAGAAGAAGGGTGGTCCCAGGAGAGAACAAAAATGGAGAATGAAGTCAGGGAGAGAGCTTGATTTTAGCCTGATTTTTAGTATTGATTTTAGGATGGAGATTTGAGTTCCAAATGCTGGATTTTACTGTTATGCTAGGATGTAGTTCAGAGTAAGGTTAAAGAAAGGGGGGCAATGCCTAGCCTACCTTTTAAGCTATTTTTAGAGTTTTTTATTTTATTTTTGTAGCTGGAATTTGCTAAGATTCTAACTGTTATGATTTATGGAAATGTACTGGAATGCTATGCTTTTGCAACAAACTGAATATCTCTAAATTCTTTATTTTTCTAATAAAAAAATAATTCTTAAGATCCTAAGTTTGGTCTCTTGAACAGCAAATCTGCAAGTATTAAGTGACAGGCCACAGAGATGCTACTTGAGTCCGTTACTAGCCTGAGTTTTGTTTGTCTTGGCAGACTCATGATTTCTATCTTTGTTTTTTCTCATTTAAATGCTCATTAGAACAGACTTGGGAAAAGGGTAAGTGGTACTGCCTGGCTGGGTTACCTGGACTCTGCTCAGCTGTTTTAGGAGTACACTTGCACCTGGAACCTCTCTGTTCAAGCATCAGGTGTTCTTTTAGAAGACCGGGTGCTCATAAGTGCAGCTTGCTAGTCACCCATATGTGTGCGTTTACAGAGGCCACGAAGAAGAAAAACAGGTTACTTACCTGTAACCATAGTTCTTCAAGTGGTCCTCTGTGAATTCACACAACCCACCCATCCTCCCCTCAATCCGTCACAGATTATTCATAAATTCAACCTTTTCTTCTATACCCGGCAGATAAAATTCAGGAACTGGGGAAGATAGTTGGTGGGAGGAGCATATACCTCATGGAGGATCTCACCATAAAATTGTTACTTTTAGCTCTAGAATCTTCTGAGAGAGTCAATGCAGGCTCAGACAATACCCATATATGTGAATTCACAGAGGACCACTCGAAGAACTATGGTTACAGGTAAGTAACCTGTTTTTTTTTCCAGACTATGGATGTTGTATGGGACCGCCCTTCTCCGGCTTCCCCAGCTAGGAAGCTTAGTATAGTGTGCAGGAATCTGGATTTTTTAAAACATGGAGGATCTCTCAAGCAGTTACAAGGCCTGCTGCTTGTCTGTTTGCTTCCTTCATATCTGCTTTCTTTGCTAGAGCAGTGTGGAGATACTTGGAAATAACTTCATTGAAAATTTCTTATGGAGAAGAATGAGCATTGTATATGTTTATTCAAAATGATGATATCATAACATAGCATTTAGGTGTACTTGATGTGTTAGTGCTCTGCACAAACATTTCCTACTTTACTGAAGCGTGCTTGCTTGTTCTGGTGACTCTTGAGGAAGTGGAGGTGTATATTTCACTGCACTCATGACATGATTTTCTGCTTTGGCTCCTGACACATGGCATTGTAGTGATATTCCAGAATGAGCTCTGTCTTGGCCCCTGTAGTTGCTGCTTCAGACATCTTTTAACTAACCATCAAATCAGATAGCTCAAATAACCATTTGATACTATGACTGTTAATAGGTTGAAGGCTGATTTAGAGAAAAAATGATGCAAGGGTAGTAGACAGTGGTGAATTAACTTAGGAAAAGATACAAGTATTTGGTGTTCCTTGGGGAGGATTTCAACTCTACCTCCATTTTTAATGTGTGTCCCTTTCATATGCATAATCACTAAACACTGCATCCTCTACCTTGTTGTTCTGTTGCAGAAGAAAATGTATGCCATCTAGGTTTCTTTGCTTAGTGATGTTCTAACTTATAAAATCTATCTACTGATTAATTTAAGATGCCAGACAGCTGGGAAACAGCTAAATGCAACTACACATTGGATTGGGCCTAACATTTGGATTTGTAAGAAACACATATTTAGTAGCTCAGATAGTATTGATGCATTTGATATTCTGGGGAGGCAATTCCCCCCTCTTTTTATTATTTATTATTAAGATCTTGATTTTGTTTCAGACTATTCTGTAATTCATTTCACAACATATTTGACTTCATCCTTGATTAATTTGCACATACTTAAATCATGTATTCTGCAGTGTTGCTGTATAAACAAAAGAGACCAAGCTTTAATAGGGCAAACAGTGAAACCATTTGTATCGAATATAAAACTAGAAGGTCTAATATCTTCAGCCTTTGTATTAACACTTATATTCTGACAAGAATGCTTCAAGGCAATATGTGTATATCCCTCTGACCATTTAGAAATTCACTACTGATTTTCTTTCTTTTTCTTTAGTGAATGAGCTCATTCTTAAGCAGAAACAAAGATTTGAGGAAAAGAGATTTAAACTGGACCATTCAGTGAGTAGCACCGTATGTCCACATTTTCTTGATTTATTTCAGATCTTAATGGGAATGGTCTTAGTTGCAACTATGTCTTGATGATTATCATAATTAATCTTGTTCTTAGGTGGCTGGGGGTCCATGTTGTTCCTCTAGTCCAGTGGTTCTTAACGTGGGCGATAATGCTCCCCAAGGGGCGATTTCATTTTTCAGGGGGGCGGTAGAACGAAAAGGGGCGGCGTGGGGGCGC